ATGATTGTTTAGATCGGTCTGAGTTTTTTCTATATATACATACTTACAAAAAATGTAAGTATTTCTATCAGTTGTCTAGTACCCACAACACCAGCTCTGATTAACATGTGACTAGATGGCTGTGTGTATTGTTCAGGGATATCATTAGTATTATATTTAAAAATATATTATATATCTACTTTTTGGATCTGAGACTATAAAAACCCTATTATTATTACTAAAAAATATATCTACTTATTGAATCTGTAACTTCAAAGCCTAAAAAGTCGGATGCAATTAGATGAATCAAGTATTAAAACAATTAACTCTCCCAAATCTAGAACTCAACAATTCAATGAGTCATGCGCGTGCGCACGTAACTCGATCCTGTGCTAATTATGGCGGCGCATCTGAGATGTGGGTCGACCGTGTCACAATACGGAACCCATATACGATGATTACGACCAATTGATGATCTGGGCTGAACAGGACTGGCTGTATGAACATCGGTTGTCATGACAACTGTTTTAGGTCAATTCTTTCTAGGAATTAACGTTTCTGCTATTGGTACGATGAGTAATTTCGATACTAATCTGTACATATTTTATTATATTCGTTATTGCATTGTAAATATATTATTTGACGGCCTCGGTGGTCTAGCGGTTTACACCCCATCGTTTTTCTTCCGATGATCGCGTATTCGATTCCTCACAAGATACAAACATTTGCTTCATGATTATGATTGTTCATATTGGTTTGGGCGTTTTCTATTTATATTATGTATGTATTTACGAAAAAAAAATCTATGTATTTGTATCAGTTATGTAGTACCAATAACATAAACTTTAGCTAGCTTAACTTGGATCTAGATGGCACAGTGGGAATTGTCCTTAAAAAAATAAAATAAAATACGGAATCCATATATGATGATTACGACCAATTGATGATCTGGGCTAAACAGGACTGGCTGTACGAGCACCGGTTGTCATGTAAACTGTTTTAGGTCAATTCTTTCTACGAATTAACGTTTTTGTACGATGAGTAATTTCGATGGACATAAGTATTTTATTACATTTATTGCGCTTTGAATACATTTAACTGTCTTCATTTTCTAATGAAGACAGTTAAATGTATAAATAATGTTTTTTATGGTATATGGTGTTAAAAACCTGTTTATGTTTTTGAAATATATATACACAAATATTTAAAAAACATTATAAAACAGTTGAAATATACTCTTACATGTCAACAGACAAGTCTTTGATTTTAATACATAATAATGTAAAAAATATAAAACAGAACCGGCAAATACACACAAAGAGGAAAAATGCGCTTGCGGCTCACCTAATGGTAAGTGATTACCGCCGCCCATGAGCACTCGCAACACTAGGGGAAATGTAAGTGCGTTGCCTGACTTTTAAGAAGGAATAAGTTTTTTTCTTGAATGTTTCAATATCGTATCGGTTTACAAAGGAGATATACTTATATAGATAAATATTTTATTTGCCAAAAACAAATTCCTCCACTTCACTTTCTTCCACTACCATCCACACGCCTCCTTTCGGGAGTGAATAGTAGTGGTAAAGATTTATCCGTAGATTAAAAAAAGACACATCAAACTTCAAATAAACAACTACATAAATGTATATCATCCATCTCACTTCAATAACTTGAACACAGAAATCCTTTACACCATAGACCCAATTAAAAATGAATGACTGATCGTTGGAAATATCACGCCAATGAAAACTGAACTTAACATAGAAGACATCAAGGGTGGATCTCATGATGGTCAGGGTCGTTTGAAACAAGGACTCAAACCTGTTCTAAGACGATGTCGTCACGCTGACGGCCGGTACATTGTTGTTATTCGTGTATTGTATTACAAGAGTAGTAGGTACATGAGATAAAAACTGGAGTGAACATCCTGTTTTCAATGAATACGCACAAGGAGAGGTATGCTGTAATCCATTAATCCTTTTGAATCAGCTTTGATTAATTCTTTTTGCACTTTAGACTATTGTAGTACATTTAAATATATATAACTCAAAAGTGACTGACGTAGTGATCTATCAACGCACAGCCAAAACCACTGGACGGATCGGGCTGAAATTTGGCATGCAGGTAGATGTTATGACGTAGGTATCCGCTAAGAAAAGATTTTGATTAATTCTACCTCCAAGGGGATAAAATAGGGGATGAAAGTTTGTATGAAAATTTGTCAATTTTAAACCGATCGGGCTGAGACTTTGCATGCATAAAACTACTATGACGTAGGCATCCCCTAAGAAAGGATTTTGATAAATTCCACCCCTAAGGGGATAAATTAACGCGAGCGAAGCCGCGAGCAAAAGCTAGTCTAGATTTAAAAATGACGTGTGTAACCGCACATGCTTACTTTGCAATACCTAATTGCCGACACATACAATTTCACCTCATAATGCATTTCACCTTAATTTCTTTTAGCAATAAAATCAGTGTTCGAGTAGCATTCAACCAAGGCTGTTTTATTTAACAAAACCCCTCATCAATCAATCAATCAAACTGATATAGCCTGAGAGATAATGTCCAAAGGCAGGGATGGTGATTGTAAGTAATGGGGAGCATTTATTGGCAGTATTGCTAGCTAATCCTACTCACCTACGGATGGCTGACCCATTATTTTGATTGCATATTTTTTTATACATTTATATAAAAAACAAACTACCGCATCGCATCCTATCGCACTACACCGCACTACATCGTAATGTGATCTTTCGTGACTTACCGCCCCGCATTTTACCCTATTAAATTGCAAGCTGAATTTTGCCGCAAGCACCATGATGGATGTGAACTACCGCAGCGTATCAAGCTAGAAGTATCGAAATTCAAATTCTACTTACTACCACACCGCATCCAAGCGTATAGAACCTCAAGCACCGAGATGCCAGAAACTTCAGTACCGCATCCTACCGCATACTACCGCATCCTACCGCATCTCAACGCATCGAACCGCAAGCATCGAGAGAACTCAACAGCTTTAAAAAGCTGTGGTGCAATTAACTGCGTAATTTTAGCGGATGCATTATAATGCAGTATTCATATCATTACCAACACCATAAATACACGTATAGAACAGCAAAGCAAACGTTGTGCTGATTCGCCTTCCATTTACCTCAAAGTATGTCTATCAGTGTAGAAAACAGTAAATAATATGGACGCACTACGCTCCTGACAATTTGCGCACGCGCCGCTTTCGCTAGGAAGTCGGCATAACCACATCTCATTAACCGTCACTGCGTGAGACATGTAAACACAGTGTTTTGGTCCCGCAGCCTCCGACGTTTCCTCAATGCCTCTAATGAGGGCCTGTGGATGCGCCAGCACTGCATCGGGAACGGCCCACCAAGATAAATTGTCTGAGACGTTTATGAGCTAGCAATTTGGCTGATGAGCAAGGCTACTGGCCGCGTTAGGTTGGAAATTGCATATCCTAACTAACATTATGACAAGGAGAGATTTGTTTCTTTTGATCAACCCAAAAAACATAACGATTTAAAAAAATCTGCTATTGTGATAGAAATATTTTATTAAAAAAAAAGGATTCCTTACAGTAATTGCAAACGTGTGAAACCAGGGCGAGTCATAAATGACAGATTTGTTGATTATTTACTAGCATAGATAATTGGGGAACATTTCTATTGAACTCACAACAATTACAATAATTAATCGTGTGAATCCAGGGCGAGGTCTTAAATCATAGATTTGTTGATTATATATATTCCCCAATTGTATATACCAGTGCAGACAATTGGGAAACATTTCTATTGAATTAAGGAAGTTAATGTATGTTACCATTAGATTTATCATTTTCTATTATATTAATTACATTTACTATGTAATACATTATATTTAAAAGGCAATAAGTTATAGATAGATTATGAGTGAAAGTCTGTTTATGAAATTATTTTCCTGACTGGATAAGATATTACAGCTCCGTATAAGCTGTTAAGTTTATGACGGTTTTGTTTCTGGTCGCAATATATCAGAGTATAATCTCTACAATAAGCCGTAAGTCTCCGAACAGTTTTTGATTAATTTCGGTACATATATTCTTTAGAATCCATTATAGTTTAAAATCAATTTATAATTTAGGTAGGCCCGCCACCTGCAACGTTGAATTCACCCATACATATCCAGGAAACTATGGACATATCAAGTGTTTTGATTATCGTAATGTCAACAGTTGTAAATGGGGGACGGGGGGAATGTGGACTAATGACCCCACTATTAGTAATGCACCATGTCAGGTTGACCTCCACGCGGTTCCCTCTTGAAACTATCGTGATAAATTCTTGGTGAATTTGTCGCGATGTGCTAACTCACCTGACCTCATGCTCATCTTATCATCCTCCACTGTTGCCTCGCCGTTAATGCCGTTTTATCGCAGTTTGATCGCCGAACCGTTAACACTAGACTTCCAAACTATAACCGAACTCTATTCATTCTCCGATAATGCATCGTTCAGAGGCGAAACACGTGTCGCAATATTGATGTAGATCCTATAATGGTCGGAATAGGATCATCAATAGAGAAGGTCGCAACGCCTCCAGTAGCGATGGTCAGATTTCCGCATTAAATACTTGTCGTCTTACATATGCTAATGGTAGCTGAATTAAACAAAATAATATAAATACATTAAGTATTGAAATGGAATGAAATATAATAAGATCTAATTCGATAAAGTGTAGTTCTAAATTCCTCTGACTACCGTATTTGGAATAACAGCGTTTTAGATTAGCGTTAAGTTTAGATGACTATTTTTAAATGAATTAGATTTGATAACTAAATTGTTTTATATCTATACATATCATATATAAAAATAAAATATGAAGAAATAGTTTAAAAACAGTAACTAAGTTATTGTTCTTTGCGACGTCAACATAATAAAGGCATAACAAAAAATAGGTATACACGCTTGCCTCCCCCAAGGCGGGTCTTTATGAGTGAAATTGTTGCATAAATAAATAAAAATACCTTACCTTACTCCTCGGGTATACGCTCAGTACATCAGACCACCACCTGGCCTCCTCCCTGCAGGTGCCCTTCACGAAGGTGACGCGTTCTGGTGCAGTGATGGCCAAGCTGTGCGGATGACCAGTCACGGTGTCTGCTTCGCTCACCTCGAGGACCGTTGTCATGTCCACGCTGGCTTGAGGGACTGTGTCCGGCTGTGAATGAAATATATGATAAGTTCTCTTGCAGTGGACTGGTCTTCTCTGAAAAGTATGACTTATTTATTATGTTAATCAAGTAACTCTTCATGTATTTATGTCAAATTTGCTATGTGGCAGTATGTATTCACTAAAAAATCTTAAAAATGTAATTCTGAATAACATTTATTTAAAAGTGCAACACGTAAGTTTTATGTTTGTTCTTCTTGTGATAGAGTCTGCGTTCCGAATGAGGGGTAGAATTAAAAAATATGACTGTACAAAAGTGTAGTTATGTTCCTTGCAAAGTTACGACCTCGGTGGTGTTGCGGTTGTAACTGTTGTTCTGGGAGTTATAATTATTTTATACAGATATTAATATCAGATTTGTTTGTATAAATTATATAATTTCTCTAGAAGTACGTTCTATAATTTTCATATGTTTTGTTTACAAAATCGTATGTCTTAACTATCAACGCATAGCCTACTTAAAAGTACTAGGTCTAGAAACTGAAATTTGGAAGACTATTTTATTTTATAATATAGTGCCTACAAATTTTTAAATCTCTCAGTTTTCTATACTATAATAAGTGTATTATAGATATAAACCTAACTTTTGAATCAATTTATCTATCACTGCATTAAAACCCGTTGCATATTTTAAAAGATCTAAGCGTACACACAGCAGCGACGTCTTTGTCTTATACCATGTACAGAATAGGCATAGGTAAAGAAACAGTTTTTTTTAAAATCTCCACTTAATTATACCATGCTTGTATACCCACTGGCGGTAGCTAATATTTTTAATAGAATTCCAAAGCCTTCGCGACGTCTTTCATCGCGAAATCTCTGATCTTACTTCTTGATAATTTACATCATTAAACAGATATATACACATAGATAATACAAATACTACCGTTCATTTATTAGTTAGGGAATGCTCTCATTCAATGACACAGATAAGAAATAATCAAATGTGCGTTTGAATAATATTGAGAGCCGCTCAGTTATTCGCCTAGATAAAATCATCTGCTATATTAAGATACTGATTGAATTGCCGCCCTCTTATATACTATGCAAAATGCCACTAATCAATTTTATGTACTCCGTTTTCCGCGACTTTGCTATGCGAAGCCGTTATCCCTTGCAGACAGTTCTGTGGTAAATATAATCTACCACAACTCAGGAGAATTGGAAATTGTAAAGTCCAAATCATATAATCATATAGAGGGAAGGGGATTGTGAAGTAATGTGGGCTGTTGACACCATTACTAGCAATGTACCATGTCAGTTCGACCATCACACTATACCCCCGGGAAACCATTGTGACGTGACAAATTCCTGATGAATTTACAACGATTGTCTATAGGGCTAAATGTAGTTAGATGGCTATAAAAAGTCCTACAGCAATCTTTACGAAATACGTACGAATGGGTGTAAACAATATCTATTAGAAAAAAAATGTAAAAACATAAAAATTTATGCAAAATACCCAAAAATATAGCAACACATAATTTTTATTTATTTATTTATTATATTCATATAAAAGAGTACATATTGCGCCGACCCCAAATAATGGGATAAAGGTAAGGCAATGAATGAATTCATATAAAAGAGTTAATAACGAAAATATATCAACTTAAAGGCGAAAATATACAAATTTATATGAATGTTAAGTGGAAATTTACAAGAAATAGTCGTTATTAAATAGACGTAGATATTAATATTGACAGCGGCGGCTTTTATATTAAAGGAAGGTGGTGAAACAGTGGAAATAAATGGCATAAGTAATGTTGTAACCCTCTAGCGGTGAGAACTGCAAATGGATGTTTTACGGCGGACGGTGACCACTGCCGGTCTAAAACGGCGTCCATACTCGCATACTGTGTACATATTTAATTATTTATTTGTAAGCACAAACGACAAATAGTCCTTTTTATTTTTAAATAGCATAACGATACGGTACATATTATGTACTGTACATATTTAATGAATAAATGATGAATGCAGGGCAATCCAAAACAAAATAACAAACCTTTACAAAATAAATTCAGATTAAATATATAGAAATACTATAAAATGTCGTGATAAAAAATAAAATAATGTCAGCAATTAGGTATCCCATCTTGGGAGTTAAAAACTCCGTGATTAGACATTCTCATAGTACACTCTAACCTCTCAAGGAGCGGTCTAGCACACGGTTTACATCCGATGGTCGCGGGTTCGATCCTCGTACAGCACAAACATTTGTATTCATGAATATGATTCTTTGTATCGGTCTGGGTGTTTTCTATATATAATGTGTATGTATTTTCGAAAAAAAATCTATGTATTTGTATCAGTTATCTAGTACCCATAACACAAGCTTTAGCTAGCTTAACTTGGGTCTAGATAGCGCTGTGTGAATTGTCCTGAAGTAATTATTATTATTATAATTATTTAAAAAAAGTACATTATTAAATATTTTTAATGGGAAATTGTATGTGGATGTAGTTTTAACCTGCCGTGGCAGTAATATTCGAACAGTTTCTCAATGTCGCGCTAAGTACTAACTGGTAGGGCGAAATTATCATTAGTGTACGCGCCGTTTACTATCTCCGTCGGATGCCGCTAATTACATAAAACTCATTGCGACATTCTTAAATTACGCTTCTGGCTCTATATATTTACTAGTTTTTGCTTGCAATTTTGCACACGTGCAGTCGTTAAGTGGATGTTTTCAAAAATCCATTCCTAATCGACGCTTACCGTACAAATATAAATACTCGTAACTTTAGCTTTATAGGTATTTTAGCACTTCTCATTGTGATAGTCAGTAAAGATAAAAGATTTTATATATAAGTGCTAGATATAAATATAGACTTAAACATAGTGCAGTCATAAAAATGATTTTTTTTATTGGGGCGTTTGGGCTATTACCAGGTGCAATGACCTGTAACACTGCGACCTGTATAGATATATATTGTGCTCGCCCTTTTTCAAAGTTCGCTACCTAGACCCGTAAGGGACAAGAATTGAAGGATATTCTTAGAAGCTATGGTTTTTATCTCCTCAGGATATAGTGTATACTTTCCAAAGGAGATATTTCGTTTATGCATAAGAGGGCTACAGCCATATAGGATGTGCAGCGTTTCCTCTTCTGCTTGGTAAAATCTGCAGATTAATGTTAAGCTAATAATAAAAATGTTATTAGGTACTATGCTTAACTTCGTTTGTATTACATATAGGACGTAGTGTGATATTACAGCGTGTATGTAGCGTTCCTTGAGGAATAGACTATACTACTCTAAAATATTGTTTCAATTTGAACCAGTACATGCTGTGGCGTATTAAATCAAACAAATAAACAAATTAGCTTTACAGTATTAGTATAGCAGAGCTATATCAAACCCAAAAAGAGATAGGATACAGTTACCTAGATCAAAATAATAATTGCATTTAATAATGGCTAGTAAGACAAATTCAATATTGTCTACTAAGCACTGCCGTGTGTAAACTGTGTCACCCCACCTTACATTTTCCTATTGTCATTTAGTATAAAAGATCAATATTTCTATGTACATATTGTCAGTCTAATATCATCTTTAATATACATCGTCTCTACCAACAACATAGTATCATTTACCCGCAACAAGCTTACAAAGGTTGAAATGGGTTAGACTGAGGTGCCCAGACGACTTTATACCCAATTAAGTTATTATATACATTTTTGTGTTTAGTGAAAAAAAGTGTGTTCAGTTTAAAAATATAATTCTAAAGAATATTTATTCAAACTACACGCAAGTTTCTTGCTGATGAGTCTGCGTCCCGACTGAGCGGTAGAATAAAATGTGCTTATATTAAGTTTATTTGTGTATATTTGTTTATTATTTTAATCCAATATATTTATTTAAACAATTTTATATTAATGAAAACAATACAAATTACCGCTAACTCGTATTTACTGCTTCATGTTAATGTATTTTACAAACGCTGTGTATAAATACGGTATTTTAACTATAAAATCACCGTTAGTTGGCAAAATGCAGATTTAATTTCAATAGACTCTTTTATGACCCTGTCTAATTGAGGAGATAGACCAACGTACTGAATGTAGATGTTATATAGATATGAACTACTAGCGGTGTCCCGTGGCTTCACCCGTCGTTTATAAACTAAATGGCGGACATACTCAAGCCCCAACATATCCTTTTCATTTCTTTATTCCAATTCCAGCTTCATGGGCACGATCAAACAAACTCTTCAGTTTAATATATATACTTGTTTATAGAGTTTGTTTGTAATATTTTGATATGAATAAAGATTTTATCTATGTCTATATATTAATAGGAGGGACTTCGTCTGCGTCATGTTTCATACCCTATTTTACTCCCTTCCGAGCGAAGATCCGTTCAGTCGTTATGTAAACTAGTCTTCCTTAATAAAGTCGATCCAACTATAAAATCAATTTTCAACTGGAAGTAGTTCCTGAGATTAGCCGATTCAAGCAAACAAACAGACAAACAAACTTATATACATTGATCACTTTATGGGAAGGAACCAGAAACTTGCTAGGACTGGTTTGTTATCTTCCTGGCGTCGTGAAAACCGTGTATTATTTGTATTAAGTTAAATAATTACGAAAACACTAGGGATTATAGATTTCACAGATTAAGACTTTGAATCTGGGCGGAACAAAAAGCAAACAATACTTTGTGCGTCTATTTAAGCTGAAAAAAAATATACTCAGTTAAATGTCACAATATATCTGACTACCTTTTTTTCTATTAAGTATTTTACGGCCCTGGAAATTTCATTTCAGCCAAAATATCTGACTACCCCACTTTGTATTGCACTTGTGAATATTATTAAATGTCTAATTACTATTATTTATTAAGAAATAAAATTTGAATTTAGAACATTTTGAATGAAAAAACTTATTTTCTTTTGAGCATCATTATTGTTGTGTACTAAAATTTAGTTAAAGAATAAAATTCATATTTTGATCTTTCTCAATGCTGCACTATTTTTTTTGAACT